CAGAAGGGAAAGCCATGATAAAATTTCTGCGGGGGCTCCCATATCCATGTAATCGTGCAGTATGCCTTTCACTGCGTCAGAATTTGAGAAATTTAATTCGTTTTGCGCAGGTGTACTCTTTTTGATTCACAGGAGGAAGCCGCTAGCGCTGCGCTCATACTGCGCGATACCGTCGCGCGATAGCATGACCTCGACAGATCACTCTCCACCAATAATCTTTGGACGGCAGCGAGTGTCAATTCAATTTTTTTGAAATGCAGTATTTATCGTAGTTCGCGGTGGTGCAGTGGTTGGTGGTGGAGAGCGATCGCACGACTGAATCGTTCCAGCCGCGAAGTATGAACGCCGCCTAACGGGTGCTTGATGGATCTTGAAAAGCCACTAAATCAATGGCTTCACCTGCGTGATGTGTGGGTCTTTCTCGTGCAAGGATTTGATCCACGGATGTCACCATCTTGTTGTAAGCGGCGTATGGTCCATAAAGACGAGGGTCAAGATGTAGCGACCAGAAATTGACGAAAAACCGTGAATCAACAAGGATTCGTATTCCCATACCTCTTGTGATGTCGGCATAGGAATTTGAATGGAACTGAAACGGAAGGAAGAAGAAAATTATCAACAGGATCCTATGTTAGGCCACTGAAGAAATGCTTTCGCAGACCTTATGCTTAGTCAGGACAGCGGTATCTGGTGATGTTCGATTTCTATGATGTATACCAATCCACGGTTTGCCAAGCATTTCAGTAAGATTGCTGACCACGTATACATTGTCCACTTCCTGAACCTTCCTTTGAAACCTTTGTCACCTTTGTCAACTGGAAGACTTTTTCGAGTAAAATGTCGTCAGTCTGCAATCTCAGTACACCACTGTTTATTCGCTACACTTACTCAAGCATCGAATAAATAATCAGAGAAGTAAGTGACATATGTATCTACCAGGTGCTAGGGGGGCTTCTATTTGAAGCGCCACATCCTATGTTTCACCGATAGGTAACACGTCTTCATACCAGGCGCGGTCCCGCCTCCAAGCATAACAAATGTGGTTGCTTTTTACGGCTCGAGAACACGTAAGAACGACGCTAAAGCGCTACGCGCTCGGAGGGAGATGCTCGCCCATCGCCCCTTATAGACGCTTACGTTTATTTCCAACGACTAGCGTTCATACTTTGCGGCAGCCCCACGACACCAGCGATTCGTGCCGTCTGTCACCTTCAGCCGGACTGGAGAAAGCCGTACATATCTATCTAAGTGAGGGGCCCGCTTGCGTCCCACCAGCGTACGCCACGGACCATAATTCGTCTTCGAGGTGAACTAAGAGAAAGCATGGACATCGATCCTACTTCTACAGCGTCCACCAGCGACAAGGAGTGGAGAGTATGGGAAGTGGAAGGGCTGCAGCCTGCTGGAGAGTATGGGGAAGCAGGAGGGGAAGACAACTGGATTGAGCGCCGTGAAATTGTGGCGAGTGCAACTGCACCGTACTTACACAATACCGTATACCGTACTCCTGGTCGCTGGTGGACGCTGGTGGACGCTAGATCGATGATACATTACCAGTCCCTCGAGACGCTGATGGTCGCTGGGCAGCTGGTAGATGCTGGTGGAGGCTGGTAGTCGCTGAATCGATATGTATAATATTCTAGTCGCTGACGCTGATAGACTCTTGAAACGCTGATGGTCGCAGGTGGACGCTGTCGCAAAGTATGAACGCAGCCTAACTGCACGAAAGAACGTCAGTGTTTTTTCCCTCGAACCCTCAGACGACAGTGATGAGTGAGTGACATACTTTTTGTTGAGTCCAGATGGGATCCCATCCCATGAAAATGAGTCACTGCAGCACCGCCTACAGGCACTGTGAGATCCTACTCTGATCATTACATATTTCTTAATGAATATTCCAATCTATAAGCAGCGATTCCAACCTGCAGCCCCACAATGTCTGGATTTACCAGAAGGATGTGTTTAGCAATCTTCTGGAGACCGTTCTTCACGAGCGTTCCGGCGTGCCAAGTGTTGAAAGTCATCACTCGCAAGATACCACTGGCAGAACCGAAATAGCAACAGACAAGTGCAAAGCTGAGGTAGATGACTTGGGACATTCCTGAAATGCCATTTAAGTTGTGAGAACAGCTAGATGCAGTTACTCATTGCTGATGATTTGCGTGAGATGAGGGGTATGTGGGCTGGAGGGGTCGCTCGCTGGCGTGTTTAGGTGGACTCCACGCAGATGCCTGTAGAAGATCGTATGTGACAAGTTAGGGGAGGGTTGTTGTTCGCGGTGATCCTTCCCTGTTTAAAGAGTGGGCTGGCGCAGTTTGTCGACGGGGGGGGCACTTTGCACTTTCCATCGACGTGTCGACCTATCTAGACAGCCTCTTCTCGAGTTGACAGGTTTTAACATGATGGCTTGACGACCTTGTTCCAGCTTCACAAGAGTTCACAGGTTTCGCCAGAGTGAGACATGTAAACCGGAACTGAGGAAGCAATGATAGTGCAAAATGCCCCCCCCCCTCCCCCCCCCCGTCGCCGGACTCTCATCAAGGTGAACTCGGCCTCTGGAGTGAAGGAATGACATCATTCATCAGTATTACGAAATAGTACATTTTAATAGTACATTTTACATTAAAAAAAGATTTTTTCTGGATGTATCTGTGGCTCTCGCGGCTCTGCGAGATTATCCCTCGATTTGGTTGTTGACGTTCTAGTCCTGCCTTCGTTAGGCTGTGTATATACACTCCTTATCCCTGAGCCAGAGTAGGCGTGGCATTTGAACATGGCACGGAACTGGTTACTCGTGGAATATTCCAATGGGACAACTGTCATCTTGTTCTGTGTTGGACAGAGACACGACAACAGTTGTGTCAAGATGGAAATATTCCACCAGAAGCATAGACACCTTCAGGTTAAGTTGAAGAATGCAGCCCCGCCTACCCGATCTCAGGGATCTCGAGTATAAATTGCGGCAAGGTCCACAAGCGACCAGCAACGCCCACCAGCGGCCGCTAGCGTCCCAGGCGTTTGGCAACGTCGGCGACTAAGAATATCGATCTCCACGACCATCAGCGTCTACCAGCGACCATCTCGAAGGGCTAGGAAAGTATGAAATTATGGAAATTTTTCTAGCAAACAGCAGCGTCCAGGAGTGGAGAGCATGGGCGATAGCGGGGTGGACAGCTGGTACCCTCCTACGGCCCTACAGCTACCAGCAGTCTGTGACCCTCCCATACTCTATCAGCTGCTGTTCGGTCGTTGATGCCAGTAGACGCTTCCGGTCCCTAGATCAGTCCTACGCTTCCCCAGCCCTCGAGAAGCTGCTGGCCGCAGGTGGACGCTCGTTGGTGGACGGTGCCACAATGCCATGGCGACGAGTTTTCATTCAAAAGTTGAAGTGTTCAATTTTGAAAAAGTGGTGGTATGGAGGGGACTGTCCGTGTATTGCATTTGAAGAAAAGGACATGTCGAAGTTCTACTAACTACAAGATGCACTTTCAAAGCGGACAACGGGCGATTTCACTGGAAACACCTGACAAACCTCTTGCTTTTTGGGCTGCGACCTGCCTTTTGCAAATTTTGCTAATAAATGATTAGGTAGCCTGTCCTCATTAATCATCATAATTCTACGAGCATTCCTCATTACTACGATAGCTTAGCGGTCGAACGAAACGTAAACGAAATAATCTCTAGTTCGCTACGGATGAAGGGGCGTGTCAGGCAGTACGAGTGCGAGTACCAAACCTGTTCTCTGCCAGTCGTTTAAGCTGGTATGCTGCAACAACTGGTACCAGCTTCAACTAGATACAATCAAAATGATCTCCTTGTAACAATATGATCAGCCTTGTCACTTGCTCGCTTCAACATTTGCTTGAGAACAGTCTGGCACAGCGCCAAACGCATTCCGCCTGACACGCCCCTTTGTCCACAGCGAAGTAGACTACACGTTCGCGTGCTAAGCACCTAGCATTTGAGCTGTTTGGTGGAGCTGGATGGCATATATGAATCTTTTGTATGCACTCGTTGTATTTATCAAACCATTTGAAAATGAACGAACCGGTCAAGAAATAGAACAGGATCGGATCAGCTGCCCATACCCACAAACTGAAGCAAAAGCGATTCTTTCTACTGTGCCAGGGTTCCTTACACATGAGCGTCTCTGCGTCTTTTCTCTCGCTAAAGCTTCATCCGAGAGGGCAGATTCTAAGGACCGTCGCGGGTTAATCTTGAGCAGACAGTCTCTACGCGATTTGACCGTCTGGTTCTCTTCACTAGGCTGCCTACTCTGTAGGAGTAACCTACGGCGGCTCTAACCACCTTCTCTCTTGGCCGAAGCTTTAGTTAGGAAAGATACGCGGTGCCGCTGAGGAGTGCAGCTCCCCCTCCACCCCCAAAAAAAGTCCGCACCCTTAGCTGTGACAGTTTGGACGCTCCCACGGATTTTCGAGCATTTATTTCCGCGACTTGATCGATTCACTAATTGTAAGCAACAGATGGGAACCGGAGCAAGCGCTTCGCAAATGCGAACTGGAGGCACATTTTCCGTTTGTCGAACCAGCATGCAAGAATCGCTTCCAAAAAGAGTTTCCTTGAGGTCAGCGTTCGAGCGCAGTCCGCCACGCACGATTTCCGAATAGCTCATGTCGCGAAGTATGAACGTGGTTTCACTCATGAGTCCAACCACAGGCACGGCGGAACTCCTTAAAGAAACGAGTGAATAGAGAGAAAATAAGCTCATAATCACTACAGAGCTTTAGAAAGCATATCTATTTTGTTGTTTTCAATTCCACACATCGAGTAGGTTTATTATTGCTCAGTCAGGTAGAAGGTATATCATAATCACGCATGCTGGAAAAAGGGCCGCTTAACAAGCATTACCGAATAATACAATAATATCATATCTTTTCAGCCCGGCGCAAAAGAGAATTAGACAATATGCACAGAAAAGTAAGACAATTTGTAATAAGGTCCCTAATCAAGATTGAAGAGAAATGGCGTCATTGCTCCTGAAGCGGTTCAGATGAGTCGCGCATGAATAAGTAACATAGATCAGGCTCCGCCCATTCGATGAACGTGAAAAGGTCCTTCAACAATTGATACAATCACAATGAGCTAGTGGTGTGACCTACGGTCACAAAATATCGTCAACATCAAAATCCGTGATAAGGGCGTAGTGATCCGATGGATAGTCATTGTCTTGGTGATATGGAATTGGCCTTTAAGGGTTCCGTGCCAGCGTACATAAACGATTTGACAGGCGTGATTTTCCCTGAAACAAGGAGTCGTTTGGCCAAGCTTTGGAAGACTCGCCATTCAGGTGAAAAAACCCTTGTGACCTGATTTTTTTCCAACAAGGCAAAATAGTTCCTCCTGAGGCTACCTCATGACTATCAAGCCACATGCGCTCAAAAGGTTCCCGCTGAGTTGATATTAACAAGATCTTATTATTAAGTTTCCGAGCGTGCTCAATGGCATTCCACATTGGTCGTGTAGGCGGGGCCTTGCGTAACCCTGAAGTTTCTCTACTGTTGCGCTCTCTCATATTCATTAGAGGCAAAAGTGCGCCAGTAGAGAGACGCAGAGTAGGCCTTACTCCGCCCATGCAACCAGCAGTGATAATGTCTCCAGAACAATCAGAAAAAATGGTAGGAGCAAATTCTATGAAGAACACTTTGTTGTTATGCACAAGAAGCCGAGACGGCAGGAGTGGCTTTTGGTAGCGTAAGAGGAAGCGGGCGCTGTCCGGCAAGCGGAAGATGCGGGTTCGAATCCCGCCCGTGGTCCGACTTTTGCCCATAACTCAGCATTCTTGTGATAGCTTTCGAATCGCGTACTGCGGCGTTAAACAGCAGTTAACAAACAATAACGGCCTTGTAACTATTGTTTATTTTGCCCCTTCCAGTTGGGTTTCTGAAACTAGTTTTTGCGCTAGTTCCTAGAGCTGTCTTTGCCCTTTCCACCAAATTAAACAGTCAAAAACTTCTCCCGCCTTGATAGAAGATGAAATCGATTCGGTCTTGAGGTTCAGGAATAGTGTAGTCCCACTGCGAATTGAATTTGTTCACGGTTGACCATGTGAAGCCTGAACGAAACTTGAATTCGTGGAATCCACAGAGAACTTCAGAGAGTTTAAACGATCAAAACCACTTGCCCTTGCTGTCGTAGAAAAGAGTATGATGAAGTTCACTTGAAAGTACATTTCGTGATTACAGTTAGCAGATCATGTGAATCTCTAATGAGGTCCAAAAACCGAAGACTAGGTCCTACTTAAACTACTGGCGTGTAAGGGAACTCCCTGAATAAGTCCCTCTGCTCTTTGATAACGGAATAACGCACTGGAGCTATATGCGGGAAGCGAGAAGCGGCGATGAACTGAAGAATGTGAGAAATTGAAAAGAAAACGATGTGGGAAAGTCCAACGGCATGATCACGACGGCCAGGACACATTCTGGCGCTGGGGAATGATTTTTGTTAAATGCGTTCCCCTTAATACCTCCCTTGACGTCCGCCGTCGGTTTGGGAGAGGAGGTCCGTCCGTCTCCCTTTCCCATAACCAACCTTGCAAAACTCTGAGATTCG